TTGCCATTCGGCGATATCTTGCCAATTTACCGAGATAGCCATTTACATCAGTAAATAGATGTCAAACACAAAAGTCAGCGTTATATTTGCAAATTTTCCAGCATTTTTTTAGAGATTTGTATAAAAATAGGACCACAATCTTAGTATATAATTTACATTATACACACGGTGAAGACTACGTACTGTGGCCACAGTAAGATGTTAGCCAATCGTAATGACCGACTCTAGTTTTAGAATTAGAGGAATTACAGATCCGAACTACGACGTCATTCAGCCTGTTTAAGTCTGTGTAAGGACGGTGCCAGCATAAATGTAGTTTAGGAGAGATTTCTTTCCTTCGAATGGGATTTCATAATGCCATCTTGTCACCGTAGTTGAATCGATGTCCTGTAGATTTATATAGTCCTGCATCCTTAGGGCGACCAAACAACAAAACACAAGGCAGACGAAGGTCCCGATCAAAGAGCATCAGGGATGGGAAACAGACGGTATTCTGGTGGACAGCACTGTGATATATCAGTAAGAACAGAGGTAACTTCTGTTCCCAGTGCTTTTCGTTTCTGAAAACATCAGCAAGAAGCTGTTAAGGATGTTTCTTTTAAACCTCTCTACCATGCCGTCTTATTGCGGATGTAAATGTGTCATTTGGGTTTTGTCTATCCCGAGTAGTTTGCAGAGTTCTTTAATTGCAGCCGAGGTACAATTCCTTCCTTGTTCGAAATGTAATTGAAGAGGCTCTCCGAACTTGGAAATCCAGTGGTGTATCATTACATCTGCTATCATGACAGCCTCTTGATCAGGAATGGGATACGCTTCAACCACTTTGTAAAGTAAGCAGTGACAACGAGGATGAATTTGTTGCAATTAACAGATCGAGGTAGAGGTTGCAGGATATCGAAGGCAATGCATTCAGAAGCCGCCTCTACATTATAACTTTGCAGCTTCTTTTGGTTGCGTTTCTTCGATCCTTTCCAATTCTTACGGGCAGTGAGTCCTGCAGAGCCCAGTATTTTTTAGTCGTAGGACAAAATATCAAAATGTCCTACCAGATAGTTTTCCTGTTTGAAGACTCAAGTAATTCAGTTATGGGTTTAATGTCGGCGTCCTCCAATTAGTCTGTCCTAGCGTTTTCTTCACTCCATGGGTATGCGTCAGATGATGTAAAATTTTTAATTTGACGTACGGCCGGATTAAGCAGCTTGTGTTCTACTCTGGAACAGTATCGGCAGCTTTTTGGGGAGTCTAGAGAGGGCGTCGACATTTCCGTGTGATAATCCCTTTCAAAGAAGGTTAGTGATGCCATAGTCCTGGAGCCTCTATATCCATCTTGCTATTTAGCTATTTAGCCTTCGGAATTCTTGAAATTTAGAAGCCCGGTCAACGATGCATGATCTGTGGGGAACAGGAATTTTACGGCGCGGTGATAATGATGGGAATGCTCTACGGCTTTAATTATGGCGAGAAATTCTCTTCTGGTGACACAGTAATTCCTCTCCGATTTAGGTAGATACTTGTTCCAGTATGTCACGACACATTCTTGACAGTTTTAAAGTGCATGCGTCTGCGTAGTGATTGTTTTTGTTTCACTAACAAAGATAAAACTTTACAAACTATCTTCGAAAGTCCCGCCAGACTTTTCCAGTCTAACTTTCGAAATTTTAGACTGCCTAATATGACATCCGGCCAATGACAGTAAAACAAACACGAACTGACATTCGGTCTAAGATTTTGCCTTATGAGAAATATCAATAGTTTAGAAATCTTAAAAAAAAAAGTCGCGAAAATGGAGAAGGTAAGGTTAGGTTAGGTTATTATTTACGGCAAAGCTTCGAGGACTATCTGCCTAAGGGGAGGAATGCTTTCGTGGAGGACTTTCTAAAGGGAAACTGGCTCGTATACACGTTACACATGGGGAAAACCACAAAAACACCCATGCAGCCGGCCCGTTCGCAGGATTCGAAGCGAAAATGGAGAACTTGCACCCAATAAGCAACTTTTATCTTTTCATCTATAAAAATGCTCCAGGTGCTGCGTTAATACATAGGCATCATTGATTCTTTTGGATTGTTAAATAATTTTTTTTCCTCCTTCAGGTTTTGTTAAAACATGGAGTCTTCAGAGAAATGCCACGTACTCGTCGGATGCACCGGTAGTGTTGCTAGCGTGAAACTACCTGAACTTCTGAAGCTGTTACTGAAGCAAGCAATCGACGGAAGACACATGGAGTTGAAGGTCATCGCGACAAAGAATTCATTCCACTTCATACCCATGAGAGAAATGCCAACAAATGTCACAGTCTACTCCGATGAGGATGAGTGGGACACGTGGAAGCACATGTCAGACCCCGTTTTGCACATCGAATTGCGGCGCTGGGCCGACGCCCTCATCATAGCTCCGTTAGACGCAAACACTTTGGCAAAGATTGCGAACGGTCTGTGCGACAACCTACTTACTTGTACCATCCGGGCATGGGATCGCTTAAAACCGTTGTTCTTTTGTCCCGCCATGAATACTTACATGTGGGATCATCCGATAACAGCCAAGCAAGTCAAGCAGCTGAAGGAATTGGGATACACAGAGATTCCTTGTGTCGCAAAACGACTGGCGTGTGGTGATGTAGGTTATGGTGGAATGGCCGAAGTGAGTACAATTGTGAAAGAGGTTATTACTCGATTGTTTTAGGCACTCTTTCTACGTTTAGTGGTACTTAGTTGTTAACGGGGAATCTATACAAATATTTTTCTTTCTTTCCTTTTTTTTCCCGGTATTACTTTTTCTTTATTTTGGTTAGTTTATCTTATTAGCTTCCAAAATAGCTTAGCCTTGAACTCCGCTAAGTTATTCCGTTTTTTTAATTTTCATGACTCTGTATCTCGTAGATACATGTTTCTGTAAGCCATGCTGAGTTCTTCATGCAAAATTTTATTGATGTCGTTTCCTTTATGTTTTGCACGTCTTTCGCCATGCGTTCTTCGATTGATTTGAATGAAACTTTTTGTGCAAATTGATACATTGACAGTAACTCTGAAATACATTGTACTCTTGTAAAAAAGCTAATAGCATCGCCTTCATTTGGTAGTTCCCACTGACCTATCAAACTATAAACTCCTGAAAAAAAAAAAAAAAGAAAGAAAAAGAAAAAGGAAAAAAAAAGAAAAAGAAAAAAAATGTGCTTAAAACTTAGGCTTATAAGTGTTGGAAACTTGGCATCGTCATACGGTTGCAATAAAAATTAAGTTGTGTTAGAGTGCCAAAGTTGGAAACTATATGATTTTTTTGGGGGGAGGCGAATTATGACTTTTCCTTTGTTAACACGTAAGTTTCTATGTTTGGCAATTATATGACATACTTAGTATTATTTTTGTATTTGAGGCCATCTCCAGTGCTTTTTGAAGCGTCGCCATCTGCGGATTGGTTGCCATACAGCAAATGTATAAAGCGATGTTCTTTGTTACATTGTTTAAACATATGTCGGATGTTCTTTAATGCAGGGGGCCTAAACCATTAATACTTTACGTTAAATGTTCTGAATTTTTCGGGCTATTTTATTTCGGGCTTTCCAGATTCAGGCATTCTAAAGATGGCAACAAATATCATGCCGTTCGGGCTTTTTTTCCACCGTTCTGCAGGTGTTCTGGATGAGAACATAAATTGCACCATTTTAGCCTTTTTTCTTTTAACCTTAATGAGGAGATTTAGAAGCATGAAGATCACTTATTTCATCCGGAAAGAAAGACATGTTCTTTGAATAGCATACAGTAACTCTTATGTAGATGGTCTTCAAATTAACCTTCCCTTATAAATGGTTTAATATCCTTTTCTAGAATCAAAGTTATTTTTTTAAAAGTATATAAAATAATCTTGTCTTTTAAAACTATGATAGTAGTACCACTCACGATTTTCTCATTCTTTAGAACATTATATTTTTAATACAGATTTAATGCCAGCCAAATCCTCAAAAGTTTTCATTTTTCTGTTTCGAGATGATTTTTTGACTCTCGATATTTCAATTTTCAAGACTTAGAATTCTGTTTCATGAATATAATAATACTGTATTGTACTCAGATTTTAAAAGCATCTTGTATTCAGTGTTAGGTATAACCACGAATGTCATTAGTAGCAGTGTCTACATTGTGATATCACTTTACATATGCAACACAATTATGCGACATCCTGTCGTGCTTTCGGATTTTGCGTTGACAATGAATGAAAAGGCTGAAATAGGAATCATTTTAACTCATCCCATCAGGAGAGGCTAAAATGGCGCTATTTTAAAAAAGCCTCAATTGGGAAAGTCTGAAATGGAACATTACCGTTTTTTTTTTAAATTTTGCATTATATTAAGTTAAGATCAAAAGTAATCTATCGCTCACAATCACTAGAACTGGTTGTTTCAATAATTTCCTTTTCCGGCTATTTTATGTCACAAGTAATGTTTAAGGGCTCCGAAAACAGCATGCAAATGTTGCAGTAAACGCAAAACTTGCATTACTGTTAAAAATCCTTGTAACTCTTAATTTGTTTTGGCGGTTATGCTATAAAAAATATCAGAAATCTTTAACGTTTTTCTCATGCAAGAAATGGTTAAAGTATAAAGATTTAACATTACAGAAATTATTAAAAATTTAAGCTCTGTGGATATGTTAAAATTTAAACTTAAAATCTTAATTCTAAAAGTAGAAACGTAGTTGTTTAAGAACGGGAAGGTTTCTAGAAATTGGAGTATGCAGCGTTTAATTCAAAAATGATCGCATCGTCCATTACCTGAGTTATTTAAGTTATAATTTGTTTATTTTCAAAAATATCATCAGAATAAAACAGAAGTTTTTGACGTGAAATACCATTTCGTGCTTTCTGGAGGTGGCAATAAAAATCGTGCCATTTCTAGCTTTTTTCATCTTCTGCAGATGTTTTGGATGAAAACATCAAAAATCGTACTATCATGCTTTTCTGTCGTTAATTCTCATTATAGTTGATGGGAAGACTTTGGAGAAGAGGGATAAGTAAAGTAAAATTCGTGCATTTTAAAATCATTCTGGAATAAATTGTGAGTTAGAGGAAAACCGAAAAAAGATTCTTCTTAAGGTGCATAAAGAACATAGCGGGAAAGGAAGACGTGTCTTTTATTTTAAGTTACTCCGCCCATCAGCAACCGAGCGCTAGAGTCCCTGAACATTGGTAATTCCGACATGGTTCGATTCTAGGAGAACGCGCTGGCTGCTTCAGCATTTTTGTAGTTCCCCATGTGTAACGTGTATACGAGCAAGTTTCACTTAGAAAGTCCTCTACGAAGGCATCCCTTCCCTTAGGCTGATAGCCCTAGTGTGCTTTGTCTTAATAAACCAAACCAGCCATATAGTTACTATGTTGGCAGATGATTGTAAAAAATCCGTTTTATTATATACTATGGCTTAATATTAACCTCTTCAATGAAAGTCACGTTTTTTAAAAATCTGCAAAATAATTAATCTATTTTATTAAAAGCTGTGATAGCAGTATCTTTGACGGTTTTTAACTCGGATTTAATGTTAGCCAAATCCTCAAATGTTTCAATTTTCAATATGTGGAATCCTCAAAAAAATTTTAGCCACGATAATAATACTGAATTATAATCAAATTTTAAAAGCATCTTTTTTAATTAAGTGTAATCACCAGTGTCTTTAATGGTTTATCAAAGCCGTGCCTAAACTAAGTTGAAGCGTAATTGTGACATCACTTCATTCGTATTTCAGATTCGCACTTTTGGACTTAATTTTGGATCTTGGATGAAAAGGACTGAAATGGAAATTGTTCTTACCCACCCGCAACAAGAGAGGCTGAAATGGCTCGATTTTTAAAAAAAGCTCAACTGAGAAAGCCTGAGATGGGACATAACTAGTTATAAAACCGTTGCATATTATTCCATCGATCGTGAAAGTTTTGGAAAATCCCTCCTAAAAGTTGGCGCCAGTCGTTGCGTATTATTCCATCGATCGTGAAAGTTTTTGGAAAATCCCTCCTAAAAGTTGCCGCCAGTCATTCTTGCGGAATTCTCGCTGCATTTGTGTCTGCAAACTCTTGCATGAAATAGTCGTTAGTCTCTTTGCACAACCCACTAAATAGCCATTGCTGGAGAAGTTTTCGACATACTTCGTTAAAAGGCTTTCGTGAATTATCAGATCTCATAACTTTAAAAATAATCTACTGCTTGTTCTGTAGAAGGCAGGCCTCAAGTTTTAATAATTTCTTTCGAAATGAAAAAGGAAAAAAATGCAACAGTAACAGTTAATTTATGTCATTTTTAATAAAAGCAATAATGTGCTTAACGAGAATATGTCTAAATTCCAGCAAATTATGGATAAACGTGATGTAAGAGCACAAATGTTATGACTGTATTGTTAGTTATATCATGCCTATCCATAATTGGCACTAAATCGCTCTGCTTGGCGTTAGTTTTACATTCGAAGGGCTAATGCTTTGATTGTGGCGTTATTTTTTAGATGCTACGCTGTAGTTTCTTTTTATCACATAATCGGATATGAAAGCTGTTGAATTTTTTTATTTTATGAAGCTCTTGTTATTGAATTACGAACTATTGAAATTTGAATTTAATGGAATTAAAAATTAATGGGTATTTTAATTAATTAATGGAATCATTTTTATTCTTAATGCAGCCTTAATTGCTTCTATTTATTCTGCGGGACATTCGCAACGTACATCGCCAAAAGAAATTATTTGTTAATTTGCTTGTTTGTTTATTGTATCACAATATTGTTGTTTATTTTATGTTGTGTTGTTAATTTATTGCATTAATTTAAATATACGTCAAAGCATCTGCATTTAAATGTGTATTACAGTAGATATAATGCAACTATAAGATTCACTTCACACTAACTTCACGCCTCATAACTTCTGTTTTATTCGTGATATTTATAATAAATTATATAAGATTTTCTTTTCACCTTCATCATGCAGTATTTAGTATTTTCAATTTTTTTTAACATTTATATTTTTAGAATGATGTAAATGAATTTTTTAGTTCCAATAAAACTGTTTATAATACAAAAAACAAATTTATAGCGTTGAATCCCTTGTTTAAATTTTGAACTATAATTAGACAAGAGACTACAAAATTATTAATATTATATAATGTGGATTAGTTTTCAAGTGGTGTAGCTTAGATTCCAGGAAAGAGACGTAGTCAAATTAAAATGAGGAATTAAAAGGACTGTTGCTTAATTAAAGTTGGTAACTGTCTTTCATATTTTATATCTTACACACACACATATATATATATACATACGTATATATATGCCTTTCTTTTCGCAACCTTTGGGTGTAAAAATACACTTTCAGCTAGGAATATGTTTTAAGTGATGCATAGAATAGTATTTTTGTATTTCTAAATTTTAAAAAGTCAGTTTCGTAAAAACTGCGAACTGACCGAGATATTTGATATTAAAATCAGAGATCATATTTAGAGGACGTACACGGATTGAAAAGTGATATATGTACATTTGTACTTAACTAAAAATAAAACATCATTTAGAAAAAGGTTTAAGAGATTAAGTGACGAGCATTTCTATGCAAATTTTTGTGAAAAATGTCTTTAATTTTTTTTTTTCTGAAATGGAGATATTGTTCACAGAATCTTCTAGAATTTGTATCCTAGAAAACACCGGTAGGCTTCCGTGTTGGCACCTAGCCAACTCGTAATTTTACTTGCGTTAATTGAAAATGAAGAATATTTGTACTTTAATGAAATTTTTTCCGCTTATCATATTATGATTCTAAAGTCATAAAATTTTCATGATATTATACCATTTTTTTAAATTATTTATTTCTTTTTTCGCATATCAATGTAACAAAAATAAAGGTTAGAAATCAAAATATGAGAAGGGCATTTTTTAAAGGGGAAAAAATCGGTTGATTCTAATTTTATTCCCGACCGTGCAATGTAAGTGCCATGATGTCTAATCACAAATTTTAAAAATTATTGGGTCATTTTGTGTCGTATGAGAGTCGACTTGCTGGAGAGACGTATAAAGTTCGATTTGTAATGTTTACAAATTTTCTATAAATGTATGCCAAAATGCATTTTCCCATTTTTGTGGAAGTATAATTACGACAACGGTGCAAACTAATGGTCGGGTTAACTTCAATAGATACTAAATCCCTTTTAGGTTCATAATAGCTTTGTTAACTAAGTTCTAAGTTTGCATTTTACGTCTTATATTAATGGTTTGGTGCCAACACAATGTGCTGATTTAAAGTGTTATGACCG